CATTCCTGCAGCCTTAACTTCACTTCCACTACATTTTTTCCATTATAAACCCCTGTTTGATACAGTTAACGAAGCCAGTTGCCTCAATAATGGCCTGCAGAAATGATTTCCAAAAGTTTATACTAATGGTTCTTAACCTTTTTAAACTCAAGGCATCCCTCATTAGGCTCAAGGCATCCCTCAAAAAACACCAATTCTTCACTTTCACTCATTTTTTGACTATGGAAAAATAGAGCAATTCTTTTTGTTGCAAAGAACTCAGAAGGACCACAACAAGGCACAATGTTTTTGACACTATGGATTCCTCTTTGAAATCTCTGGGTTTATCTTGTGAATTGTGTGCAGGCATTTGTGCATCCAACAGTGCTAATATTGTGTGGTACCCTTAAAAGGATCTCATGGCACCCTAGGATGTCATGTCATCTTGGCTGAGAATCACTGGGTGCTTATACATGAGCCAGGAGGCTGCTGCGACACACTGTAATTACAATGCATTGGACCAGACTCAATTAATCATGATAATTACTGCGCTCCAGCCAGCCTTCGCATCTTGTGCATCAGTGTCCCCATACTCAATATGGTGGCAGGGAGACTTTAACTAAAGCTTGTTCTCTCGGAGCCGCTCTAATTAAAACATCCCCCCCCCTGAGCATGTGTATAATAGTTTGGATACATAGTTCTTTTAGGAACATGAACAGTTGCTGCATCCTTCCCATATGCTGTTTGAAACTGGTGGAGATGGAAGCACTTCATCTTCCATCCAGCAGGGAGAATTGCAACTCATATCATTTGCAAAAGATGTCTCTGACAGACTGGAGTCTATTTAGAGATACTTACCGCTGGTATGATACTCAGCTGCGTTACTGTCCATGGCCAATAGCCTCAGCTAGAGGGCTGCCTGAAACACAAAACAGAAATAGTCAGGAAAGCAGGCACATGGGAAACCTTTTTCTTTACTGAACACACACAGGAGATGAGAAAGATTATCTTGTGACAAGCACGGCTGAGCAGAGAAAGAAACTCCAGTCTGGCAGATAGGAAGACGTGTCTTATTGACATTATTTAAGGAGCTAAAGATTGCTGTACATTAGTTGTCACGTATGCACCTGGGCAATGCCAGGACCCCAGGATCCCAAGGTGAGGGTAGGGGATTGAACCTGGGCCAGGGGACGGGGCAGCTGTCTCCCACCAGTCACTGAATTTAGGTTCCCTCTCATGTTGCAAATGTGATTAGCATGACCAGGTGAGAGCAGTGCAAATCCAGGGGCAGGGATCTGCCAGGGAGGGTTGTGGATGCATATGGAAGAGCGCTGGTGTCCATTAGGGTGGTGCACTTAGAGGGGAAAATGTCATTTGGTACACCCTCCCCTCAGTCAGGCAGCACTATCCTGCTGCCATGTCTGTAAGGGACTGGGGAAAGGACTCTGTGGAGGGGGGAAGATGTGAGAGGACAGGCCGGACCAGCCCAGGCTGACTAGCACAACAAGAGTTTTTCCAATTTTACCAGCTCAGCTGAGTGACACCTTCTTTAGGTGCCCAGGGTAGGAGGCTATACCAAAAACAGGACAGAGCTCTGAAGCACAGCACCAGGCCCTGCCAACAGAGACACTAGTGTGGCCTGATTGTAGGGACACGCAGCACCTTGAATGAGCTTCCTATAATCCAATGCTGGAGTCCAGCACCGCCAAAATTTCCAGGGGGTGGGAAGGCAAGCCTACACTGAGATCTGCATGCTGGGCTAAACCAAGGCTTTGTAAAGGAGTCCTACAGTCTAGGATGCTCTGGACCTAAAACTGGATTCCTCTTGAATACATGCCAGGGGTGGTAGGGGAGGGAAAGGGTATGAGGCAACTGAAGGTGCCAGGTCTGTAAACTGTAATTAGGTTGGTGATCCTCTCCAACACAGCATCAGATGAAGTGAACTCGAGTAAACAACATCTTGTGCTCTGTCTCTCTCATTTAGCCTATAAGGTATTTACTAGGGCTGTGCGAAATTTCACCGGCAGTTTAGTTTTGACACTGTTTCGACTTGTTTTGAGTTTGAAACAGCAAAATCAAAACGAAACAGAGAGCTTCGAAACGGCCTCAAAACGAAACGAGGCAAGTCGAAACATTTTGAAAATTTGAAACGTTTTGAGTTTCGAAGCTCAAGCTGGGCTTGCCCACAGGGAAACAGAAAGTAAAGTAAGAAAAGGGAAGGGGGAAGAGGGGCAAAGCGATGGGGGGAAGGAGTGCTCTCATTATTGACTGTGTAGCTGGCCAGTGACTGTCATCCTTCCCTGAGGTCTCTTCCAATCCAGTGCTCTGGGGGAGGGATGGGAAAACTGCAAAGAAGGCAGCACTGTTTGAACTGCCCTGCTTTCTGCCTTGGTGTCAGTTGAGTGAGGGCAGCTTAACACACACACAGTGTCACCCACCCATATCATGAGTTTTGCCTGGCAGCAGCTAGAGGTGCAGGGCCCCAGAACCCAGAAGCCCCGTACTGATCTCCTTGACAGCTGGCAGGTATTGTGGCCTCAGCAGGGGCTAGCAGGCCTGCAGCTTTCACCCTGCTGCACCTTAACACACACACTGTCATCCATGTCATGAGTTTTGCTTGTCAGCAGCTTGAGGTACAGTTTCCCCAAAACCCCTGCACCTATCTCCTTGAAACTTGGCAGGCTTCATGGCCTCAGAGGGGGCTAGCATGCCTGCAATTTTGACCCCACTGTGGCTTAACACATACACATGACATGAGTTTTTTGTTTTGAAGACTTTGAGGTGCAGTTTCCCTAAAACCCCTGCACCTATATCTCCTTGAAACTTGGCAGGTTTCATGCCCTCAGAAGGGGCTACCATCCCTCCAAGTTTCATCCAAATCAGGCCAGAAATGACAAAGTTATAGGCTGTTTGAACTTCCCCATTATAGCCTATGGGCGAAACGTCAAAACAGCATCAAAACAGTGAAACTGTTTTGATGAAACTAAACAGAACAGCAGTTTAGAATCAAAATGAAACACTGCTCTGTCAAAACGCAAGTCAAAACTGAACGGTTTCGCACAGCCCTAATATTTACCCTGCCTTCTGACTTCAAATTAACACACTAACTCCCACTCTTGAGTCTCTCAGTCCTAGCAGCTGCTATTACTCCACCATATGGGCTTAGGTTCAAATTCTTCTCATTTGCACACACTCTGCAGCCCTTATCCAGACAACTGGACGCTTTTCTGGCTGATGTATCGAAAACTGTGTTTTCCACTTATTACATGATGGCTTGTAAATCCAGTGGAGCACAGAGGTGATTGACTGTAGAATTAGTCAATGTTTTGGGGTGGGGTTTGGGGGTGTTTTTTTTTGTCAGAGATTTTTTTTTTCAACCTCTCAGGGAAAAAAAAAGGGTTTTCAACTTTAATGCAAAGAAAATTAATTTTGGCTTAAGATGTTTGTGTTTTAAACAGGAAAATCCCAAAGCAACAAATTCTCAGTGCTCTTGCTTTGGTGGCAACCACCCCCCCTCATTTTTTTTCACCTGAGAGCAGGTTATGCTTTCCAACAGAATACATTTTTAACAATTCTTTTGGCTGGCATAAAAACATTGGCTCTTTCCCTCATATTTCATGAAACATGTTGTTCTTTTTTTTTTTTTTTTGAGTAGCTCTGAATATTCATAGAGGGCCTCCAGTATCCAGAACTCCATATAGTTCTTATATTGCCCCTATTATCTCTGTAAGGGACTCCTCCCACTTCCAATCATCCCAAGGACTCCTGGACTAACAAATGTACCAGATCAGAATACCAGGCTTTTCTTCCCGACTGACAGCTGCCCTGGAGAGGGTCTGCCCTCAGCGTGGAACAGAGACTCTGCCTAGGTCTCGTCTCCTCTGTGTTCTCCTCTTTGTGATGCCACACACTGGCCCACATATGCACAGCTGAGATTTGGCCCGAGTCCTCATCTGCTCTCCTACTGCTCTGCTCAGCTTCACAAGGGCTAGGCGCTAGGGCTGTGCAAAGCTTCAGTCCCCAGTTCAATTCAGTGGAGATTCGGCCTGTTTCGGTGGCCAAATCTCCAAATCAAACCAGAGGACCCTTTAATCTCTCCGAATTGAATCAGCACCCTCCAAATCGATTTGGATAGATTCAGCGATTTGGACATAGACACAACTTTAAATGTTTTTTCTACATACCTCTAGGTAGTAGGCGGCTCATGACCGCTGTGATGCTGGGGTGCATGGAGTGTCCCACAGAAGTGCAGGGGGCTCCCCAGTGCGCTCAGCAGCAGACCCGGAAGTGGACCAGAAGCACTTCTGGTCCACTTCCAGGTCCGCTGTGGAGTGCATTGCCCCCCCCCCCCCCCCCCCAGTGCCACCCCAGTTCGGCGACTGGTGCCTTCTGGATTTGGGGGCCCCTGGGGTCCCCCCGCAGCCAATTGCTGAAGGTTGGAGTTTGAGGGTGGAAGACTGGAAGTGAGAAGAGCCACACAGAGTAGCTTGAAAGTTTATCTATCCCTCAGGCCCCCTGGGGCCTCTATTTTAACCTCCCCTTTCCAACTTTGTCTCTTGTGCCACTGCCTACACATCCTGTGCTCTGCCAGCAATGCCAGCCTGATGCCCCACTTGTTTGTTCCTTTTACAAACATTGGCACGTCCTTTCTCCACCATCCCCAAGCTGTCCCACCAAACCAACACCCTCCTGTTCACCTTTACTCCACTGACTCTACTGTGTGGGAGGTAGGATAAGGTGATCCTGTGGATCAGGCCATAGGCGGGTTAATGCATGGGTCAGCTAGGCCCAGGCCCAAGGGCCCCTGGATGCCTGGGGGTGGGTACAGGGGGGTGGAGGGGAAACTTGGTGAGGACGAAACTGGTGGCTGGGCCAGGTATGTGCAATGTGATGGGCTGTGGCTGCTGGGTACTGGATGGGGCACTGGGTGCAACCGCCCTGGAGCCCTGGGAGTAGCCAGAGCCACTGGCAGCAGGAAGCGGAGCAGGGTGCAATGTGTGGCTGGGACCTGTCAGCAGTGGGGCAGCCCCAGCACAGCCAGGTCCCAGATTGACCCGGCTGTGATCCTGTACATTTGCTGGGTACTGCTGGACCCAGACAGAGCCGCAGCAGGGCAAGGGGCCACCCCTGGAGCTCAGTGCATGTCACATGCACCCAGAGGGCAGTGGCTCTGCATGCCCAGTGCTGCTCAGCCATGGGGTGATGTTGTGCAGGGTCCTGCGCAACCGGCTCCAGCTCCAGCATGGAGCTGCAGGTGGGGGCAATCATGGCTCCTGACCCGGGCTTAGGAGGCAGCACATCCTGCTCTGGCTGCTGCTCCCGCTGCGTCAGCTGGGGACAGAGCCCACGGCTGTGGAGCAGGATGTGGGTCAGGCCAGGGGGCCCTGCCATGCCATGCATATGCCATATTTCTCCGCGGCACTCCCTACTGTAATTCAGAGGCAGTATAAGTACATGGAAGATCTCCAATGACTCCTTTTGTGGAGCCTACACCCATTGAGCCAACAACACTCCTGTGCTCTGCTCTCCTTGAAAAAAGAAAGTATTGGACCTAATCTTCCAAGTGCACATACCTATAGCAAGTAGCTGTGCGACCAATAAGTTGCCCTGTTCCCTCTCAAGCTGTATGTTTCCATACATGTTGTGCCAAGTTCAAAATAGAGACTATAAGATATCCGTGGCAAGGGACTACCTTTTATTACAAGGGTACAGCACCTGCCACAGTACAGGCTCTGGTCTTTTTTGATGCCTCTGAGAAGTGCTGTAACTCCATTACTACATAGCCATAAGACTGGGTTCCTCCCTGTGGACAGAGAGTGATAGAAGCCCTCAGTTTTCTCCCAATGGGTTAGCACAATTTGGTGATACAAAGCAGGACTGAAATCATCACACTAACTGATATTGTATCCGAGCCGCAGT